ACGAGAAGTAAGCCCTGAGCATCACTGGGCACAGCACACACACACACACACACACACACACACACACACACACACACACGGAAGCATTAGTCTAGAAGGGTCCCTCTCCATCCGGTATAGGTTTGGAGGCATCTGGAGGGTGGTGGCCCAGCAGGGTCCTCACACCAGTGAATTTCTTCAATGACCCACTTCATGGGGAGGAAAAACTCAGATTCTGCAGGACGGAGTGCTCTCCCAGATGTTAAAGACTGGACATGCTGCAGAACTGTGTTGAACCATTTGACCCCAAGGACCCTCACTCACACCCCTCCCTCTAGCCCTTGACACCCACGTCCTCTGCCCTGACCAAATCCTTAAGACTAAAGACAATAAATGAAAGCTTCTTTCCTGGGTTGGAGTTAGGAAAAGGCAGGAACATTAGAAAGAAAAGCTATTGAAAGCAAAATAACATATGAGGACAGGAAACATGCTTGTATCAGTTCTTTCGCTGTGACCAGTGTCTCAGGAAATGGACAAGATGAACTCACCTGGGTCGAACAGAATTTATGTTCACAGAAATAAAGCTCTCAGAAGAGAGCAACACAGACTGTCCTAACCCCGTGCCAGGCTGTCTCCACTTGGAGGGAGGTGAGTTGAATTTCCCTACCTGCCCCAGCAGAACCCCGGCAGCCCAAAAACCTCCAGAACCCAACTACACAGCCATGCTCAAGGCCGCTCTCTACACACTTTGACGGGCCTCACCTATGGGGAAACGTGCAGAAAAACCCAGGTATGTGAGACCTGTGACTGAGATCTCCAAGTTCACTTGGAACAGGACTGGACCTCCTTCCCCCAGCTCCCCAGTTTTCGAGTATCTTGGCAATCACACCCACAAACTTCCTCGGGAGCCATATAATCTCATCAATGGCCAAGATCCAGAAACTATGAAATAAAGCTCCCAGAAGAGAGCAACACAGACATCCTGGAGCATGTGGTCACAAATGCAGCTGTGCAACCTCTTATACCGTAGCCCGCTGATGTACCAAATGTAGCACATATTTGTTTGGGTTTAACAAACATACTTGTAATCTCTTGTACAAGGGTTTAAATGAATCCAGAATGAAGCACAACAATCTTCACACACTTTCCACTTATGGTGGTGAAATGGTGCATGGTGGTGGGATTGGTGTTTGAATACTAACTGTAACGAACTATTGTGAACAACTTTATAAAAATAAAATAAAATTTAAAAAAGAAGAGGTACTCCCAGCCCCATACCGAGCCAATTTCACCGGGGCACCCCAGATGGAACAGGTGTGCTCTTCCCACCTATTCTAGATAGAATTCCGGTGACCAAGAGCTTCCACAAGCAAGGCCCAGGAATGCGGGTTCCAAGACTGAATCTCCAGGCTTCATGGTGGCAGGATGTCCCTCCCTGAGTCCCCACCCATCCAGCAGACTGGCTGTCACGCCCACAATTTGCCTCCAGGCACCTTCTTAGTGCATCAACAGCCCTGAGCATCAACAGAGACACAGCAGCAAGTCCCCTAAGACACCACAGCACCGAAGGTCTCTCCGGGCCCCATGCTGAGCCAATTTCACCAGGGAACCTCAGATGGAGCAGGTGCAATGTCCCCCACCTACTCCAAATGGAATCCTGGTGACCAAGAGCTTCCACAAGCAAGGCCCAAGTATGTGGGTTCCAGGACTAAATCTCCAGGCCACATGGCAGCAGAGGTCCTGGGCTGTTCCTCCCTGGGTCCCCGCCCACCCAATAAATTGGTTGTCATGCCCACAACTTGACTCTGGGTGCCATCTTAGAGCACTAACAGCCCTGACCCAGGGACTCCCAACTGAATCCCAAAATGGATTAGTGCCATACAGAGATGTCTCTGGAACCCAACCATTTACAATCTAGAAATTTACATTTACAATCGGAGCCTTGCAAGCTCTCATGATATTCAAAATGGGCAATGGAAAATAAATTATCTAGCGTCTGCTCCTAGCAGGTAGGCTTGAATGGTGGTGGGAAATTTCAAGCAAAACGTAATGCCCCAAATTAGAGAGAGAGTATTGGGGAAATTGTTTGCCATAGAGGCAGGGTGAGGACTGGGATGTGGGTGGTGGAAAATGTGCACTGGTGGAGGGATGGATGTTCCATCACTGAATGGCTGAATCTCAAATGTGAAAGCTTTGTAACTGTCTCACAGTGATACAATTAAAACAATAATGTGGAGTTCAGCTTAATCAATGGCTGAACAAATAGCAGTACTCCTACATTACTAAAAAAAAGAAGAGTTAATGTTCATCTCTGATCAATTTCCTTTTCTTTTCCTGGATAGCTTCCATATCAACATTTCTACTCTAAAGCAAATACTCCCCCTTACACCCCAATTGATGGACAGCTTCATCTTGAGTAAAAGTGAAAAAGAAGTGACAATTCAGCCACCCTCATATATATGATTCAGCAGAAGTTGGAAGTGGGGCATCTGCTCCTAAGTGGAGAGCTTGTTCTATCAATTTCAGTATGAGGTCAAAGTTGGGCCTGATATAGAAGGGCTTTGGCAAATCTCCAAGGTGGCCCCATGGTGGAAGGGGAACAGGAAGGAAAGAGGAACATGATCCAGCCACAAAAGCTGTGGCCGGAGCCAGCACACTGAACTCTGGTGAGCTTGCTAACACCCGAGTCTGTTGCCTCTGGTGTGTGTACACTTGAGTCTGTGGTCATCCCTGTGATTGGAGGGATTTTGTGGGATGAGGAAGTTCAGCCAGCTTGTGACAAAGGTCCCTTAGACTTGCAGTCCTGAGAGGGGTTATCCCTTTCCTATAACTAGCTAGAATCTTGTTTTAGGCCTCTAAGGACACAGGAGGCTACAGAGGCTAAGAGTGGGTCAAGGACCACAGGAAGTAGAAGTGCAACATTTGTTGTCTCAGGGCTGAGGGTGTCAGCGAGGCTGACCTGACCATACCTGCTTCCCGCACCTCCAGCCTCCCTTACCATCTTCCTCTCAAGCACCTTGTTTGTTCAGTGCTGAGATGAATGTTTGTTCATGGCTCTGTTGTTTGCCTCTGTCCACTAGCCTGGAACTGCCACATGAGAAGGGTATTGTTTTGTCTGGCACAGTGAGCACTCAGCAAGTATTTGTTGGTTAGTTGGACGGATGAATGGATGGGTGACCAATGTTTCAAGGAGTTCCAGCTCTGGGGTTTTCTATCTGTGGGCTTTGAGATAGCTTTGGGATCTTCTTGAGTTTGCCATCTATAAACTGGCATGGTTGCCCTAACCAGAAGAGATGAGCAGGTCGATGGCTGGTGAAAGCCTCTATGCAGTGCTTCGCTCAGGTTACCAGGCATCTAGTAAGTGTTAATTTCAACAGTGTCACAATTCATCCACCCATCCACCCATCCTTCCATCTATCCACCCATCTATCCTCCCACCCATTCGTCAATCTACTCAACCACCCTCCCAACCAGCCAGCCAACGATCAAGACCCACCTAATCCATCTGCCCACCTATCCATCCATCCACACATACATACATCCTTCCACCCATTCATCCCAGCCAGACATATCTCCAGCCAGCCCTCCACCCAATCATCCAACCGCCTGGTACTAAGTTCCTTTCTCCATGTCAGGTCCACATGGGAACTCCCAAATCAGGCATCCAGATAAATGGCAAAAACAGGGGTGGGGTTGTTCCCACATAAGGAGAACCTATGGGAGCAGCACTTAGCTTTCTGTGTCAAGTTAGGTTAATTCCAGAACACAAAAAGGAGAGACTGTGGGGTGGGCGGAGGGAAGTTAGGATATAGAAGGGACCACTATGACAATGATAGTTGAAAATGATCACTCTGGACAAGAACTGAGTGTTGAAAGTAGATATACATGATGGCCTTTCAGAATCTGTATTGCAAAGCATGACACCCAGGAGAGAGAGAGAAAGAGAGAGAGAGAGAGAGAGAGAGAGAGAGAGAGAGAGAGAGAGAGAGAGAGAAGAAAATTGCTGCCACAGAGGTAGGCGGGGGCGAGGTGAGGGGAAACTAGGGACACCGGTGGTGGGAAATGTGCACTGGTGAAGGGATGGGGGTTGGAACATTGTATGACTCAAACCCAGTCATGATCAACTTTGTAACTGTGTATCTCACTGTGATTCAATTAAAAAATTAAGAAAAATATGTATCAGAATAACAGCTCAGGATCAAAGCCAGGAGGAAAAGAGAAAAAGGAGAGGCAGGGGGTTGACCAGGTCCACGGGCTCAAGTGCAGATTGACCAACCAGATTTGGGCATCTGTCCCAGAAAATAGCGCCTGCAGCCGATTTCTATCACCACCAGGGGGCACTGTTGCGAGAAGAGCGACGCGCTGATTCTGAGCTCCAGGTCTCAGTTCCCACAGCTGGTGCTGAGGCGGAGGAGGAGACCCCAACTAATTTGGTGCTAAGAAACCCGAACTGGTTCCAGTTTTTTCCCCTGGGTGGAGTGGGGCGTGAAGACTAGAGTCTTGTATCCCATTGCACTTCCGAGCTCTGGTCCCAGCCACCCAGTGGGATGGACAACCTTATGACAGGTGGGGAAACAGGTCCAAGTGCCTGGAAGCACTTTTCTAAGCTTCGTGGTTGGCTGCAGACGGAAACTAGCTGTGTCTCCTGCAGTGGGTTGGGGAAGGAGGCAACGGTGCAATGGGAATCAACTAGTCACCACTCAGTTCTTCCCCAAGGGGAGACAGGGAAGGGACTGCCCACCCCATGCTGGGGAATCTCACTGCTATGGGAACAGTGCTCATCCAGGCAGCGGGTGAGGCAGTCTGCAGAGGCATCAGGTAGTTCCGGGCATACCCAAACTCCCCAGCCAGCTGGTCACTCTGGTGTGGGGTTTCAGCCTCTGCTCCATTCTGAACCCTTCTGGGAGATCTCTCCCACTTTGAACCCCAGTTGCTCCCCTAGATTATCCACCAGCAGTCAACAGACCCAAAGGAGGGAGTTTATTAAATCTCAGAGACCCTCTGCCTACGGGGAGAGGACTGCGATCACCAGTCAGAAGATAGATGGGAGTATGGGTGTCTGATCCAAAATCTGAAGTTTAGGGGTGAAGGGGAGGAAGTGGAGAGCTCCTATGGAGGTGGGTTCAGTAAGGAATTCCCCGTGCTCTCAACCCCGGGAGACGGAAGGTTCCAGCCTCCCCCCAGTGGGGTTGGCTGTTCTCCCTTATTTCCCAGAAGGGTTAGTAAGCTTGCCGAGGAAAAGCACGGCAGGCACGGTCTTCTCCTTGATGGCCAGCAGGAACGGTCTGTTCATCTTCATGCTGAAGGGCTTCTCCATGGGCAGCGTCTGTGCCCCGGAGCTCGCGGCTGCCTCTGCACCCTGCTCGTCCATCTTCAGCTTTGCCTTGTGCACCGCCTGTGGAAACCAGGAGCAAGGTCAGAGCTGGATCCAGCCACCCAGAATCCAGGGTGGGAGGTGGGGGACCCCGGAAAGGCAGCGCAAGGATGTGCAGTAGCCGCGGTCACTAGGCAGGGTGGGGAGCTGAAAGGGCAGAGCCCCACCCCCAGTGACCCCATAATTTGGCTGGCATGGCGGTCCTTGGCTCTTGGCCCTTCTGGTCTTGCTACTGATGGATATTTGACCAGCAGCTTGAAGGAAAATGAGGGAGCCAAGGAGGAGTGGGGGCAGAGAAGAACTGGCTGTCCTTTCTGGAATTTAGAGTTAAACCTCACTAAGGCCAACGACAAATGGGACCTTCTGAGTTTTAACTAGATGGGCAAGGGGGTCCCTGCGTGGAACAAACAGCCACCTGCATACTCCCTCCACAGTCTGAAGAGGCAGCCAGATTCCAAGATGGCTGCTGGGAGTGGTTCAGAGACCCCAGGTCCGCCTCTGTGACGAGGTGATGGAGATGGGAATTGATGGGGTCTGGGAGCTGCCGGTCCACCTCACTCCAGGCTCCAACCAGAGACATTTCCCCGCTGACCCACACCCAGTCACAGAGATCTGCAGCAGGGAGGAAGCGGACCGACTGGACTCAATAAAAGCCACAGCAGATAGGTGGGTAGGTGGTTAGATGAGTGTGGGAGCCCAGAAATCATAAAAAATGAGGGGAGAGTTCAATTTAACCGTATCCTGCATCTTGCAGACCACAGTAAATCTGAATCGTTGCCTCCCAAATTCACGCATCGTGGCTTACTAAAATTTGGCCCTTCTCGATGCCCTTTCAACCTCACAGTAAGGTTGCCAGATAAAGTGCAAAATGTCTAAACTTGGACAGAAGGTGGTATGACTCCTTTTGGTGTTAGCATATCCTGTGCAATTGGGGAATGTAATTCTACTTAGCATAAAATTCACTTTTTGATCTGAAAATTTTAATTAAGTGAGGGGCTGGTATTCTAGATGATAAATCTGTGCCTCTCTCTCTCTGGTCCCTCCTGCTTGTCCCACGTCAGGGCACTCAGTCTGGCAGGAAAGCACCAGGTGCTTTGCTTGCGTCTCTGCGTCATGTGGCACGTGCCTATTATTTAACCCTAACCAGCCTGCGATGCCTTTGAGAGAGGATCTGGGTCTGACCAATGTCTGGGACTGATCAATGTCACAGGCCTTGACCAATCGCATGGAGTAATTGCATTGAGCTGAGACTGATTTCCAAGAAAGCACCAGATTTATATTTCGTTTTCTTTTCTTTCTTATTTTTGGGTCACACCCTGTGGTGCTTGGGCTGGAGCGATAGCACAGCGGGTAAGGCATTTGCCTTGCATGCAGCCAACATGGCCGACCCGAGTTCGATTCCTCCGCCCCTCTCGGAGAGCCCGGCAAACTATTGAGAGCATCTCGCCCGCACGACAGAGCCTGGCAAGCTCCCCGTGACGTATTCCATATGCCAAACACAGTAACAACAAAGTCTCCAATGGAGACGTTACTGGGCCCGCTTGAGAAAATCGATGAACAACGGGAGGACAGTGACAGTGACCCTGCGGTGCTCAGGGGTCACTCCTGGCTCTGCACTCAGAAATCACTCTTGGCAGGCTTGGGGACCAGAGGGGATGCTGGGGACCAAATCTGGGTCAGCTGTGTGTATGGCAAGTGCCGTACTTGCTGTCCTATCGTTCCGGGCCCAGGAGATTGATATTTTCAATTGCCAAGATCGATTGCCTGTTCTTCCCAGGAGCCCATGATGGATTGGACCAGGATGACCTGTTGGGGGTCATCCTGGATCACACAAACAAAGTGACAATGGTTCCACCTGGAGTGTGCTGGCAGCCAGCCCCAGGCAGGCTCACTTACCTCACCAATTTTCAGGTTCTGATGAGGAGAGATCCTGGTGAGGTCACCATGCTCCTCAAAGATTTTGCGGATTCCCAGATAGGAGAGGGTCTTCTTTAGGTCATAGGTGCCAGAGATGGAGAACCGGGGCAAAGCCACGTTTGTGACCCTGGGGGGTGGAGAGAGACAATGCTGCTGGGACCCAAACCGCAACATGGCCAGAGCACTGCATGACCATATGCGGTTGGAGCACTGCATAACCATGAGTGGCCAGAGCACTGCATGACCATGCGAGACCATAGCAATGCAGGACTATGAGCGACCAGAGCACTGCACAACCATGAGCAGCTGGAGCACTGCGGGCCCATGAACGGTCAGAGCACTGCAGGACCATGAGTAGCCGGAGCACTGCACGACTATGCATGGCCAGAGCACTGCATGACCATGTATAGTCAGAACACTGCAGGAACATGAGCGGCTGGAGCATTGCAGGACCATGAGTGAAAAGCAAAGACACATGTAATGCTCAGGAGGGAGTGCTCAGCTTGACCTCTCTCACCCTTACATTGAGGCTTTGTATCCCCACAAAGGTCTCAGGTCAGAAGCACCCACAGACCCTGGGTTCCTTCCCAGCTAGCCTCAAGCCCCATCTCTCCCTGTCTCTCAAAGGACCTCATTGCTGCCTATACTTCTCCAGAACTGATGGGTCCTTTCCAAGAGCAAAGCAGAAGCTCAAATAATGCCCATACTGAAAGCAAAAGCAACCACGATGGGCTTATATTCTTCACTCTCCTTTAGCTTGCTTCTTCTCCTTCCATGGCAGAGGGGTTCCCCTGGCAGAGGGGTACCTAACCCCATCATGCCTTACTCCTCAGTGTTCCAGCAAAGTTGTTCTGCTGGGCCCAGAAACCAGAGCTCCAAACTGAGGGCAGTACTAGGTGGACAGTGAGCCCAGGGGCAGCCCCAGAGCACTCCAGCCCTCTACAGGGACAGCTGTGTCCCCTATACAGCTGTGCCTCCATCCAGGTCTCACCCTGGGGCTTGCTTCTCTTTTCTCCACCCCCCTCTTTAAAGAATCCATATTTAAAGTGCCATGGTTGTATCAGGCATAAGCCCCATGACAATCCCAAACTTCCCGCTCCTTCATTCAACAAACATGCCAAGCAGCATTCACTGTGTCGTGGGCTCTGTGTTCAGTGCTTAGAGGCAAAGCCGTGTATGGCACAGTGACAATCTTACACCCAGGAAGATGGGTGTATCAGAGGCAGAATCACTCATGGGACTTGGCGTGCTGGCATGAAGGGGGGTTGGAGCAGACTCTGAACGAGGCAGATGAATTAGGTGAGGTGGGCTGTCATTTATTCTAAGGGAAATGGAGACCTAGTACAGGGTTATGCCAAAAGATATATTGTGGGATTGTTTAGGGTTTGAGAGGATGATTTTGTTTGATTTGTGAAGAATATATTACTGGAGGAAAGAGCAGCAAAGAGACAGTACAGGGGGTAATCTCTCCAACACACACACACACACATACAAACACACCATACACATATACACATATATACTGCATATGGCGCTTTGGGTACCACTAGTGGTCATCCCTGAGCACAGAGCCAGGAATGAGCCCTGACTACTACTGGGTGTAGCCAAAACACCCCAAAAAGAGTATATTCTTGGAGTAGGGGAAAGGGCAATCATTCGGAAGCTAGTGTGGCAATCAGATGCTGGGAATGAGACCCGAGTGGTTGGGAGGAGGCTAGATACCAGACAGGCGGTAAGACAGGGCAGATGGATCCCCTAGCAGCCAGCGTGAAGGGCTGGAGAAGACCAAGTGATCAAGAGCACAGAAGCTTTTCTCCATGCGCTGGTCAGGGATGGAGTCACCACTGCATGAGAATCCCCACCAGAGGGCGCCTGCACTTGCTGAGATGAAGAGGCAGCAGACATAGAGGGGGTCCTACAGGCTGAGAAAGAGGAGACCTGACATGGGAGACAGCTCCTGGTCCGGGGATGGTGGTGACAAGGATGCTGGAGGGAGCTGAGCCTGGTGGGAAGGGATGGGGGGACCTGGCGCTTGTGCTTGGGAGCCATGTCTGGGACCTGCAGAGGAAGGTGCAGCTAAGGAGAGATGTGGGGACCCAGGAAAGCTTGGGGGTCTGGAGGTCAAGTAAACTCTTAAGAAGCTAGAGTGGGCCGGGGAGATAGCACAGCGGGTAGAGCGTGCCGCCTTGCTTGCAGCCAACCCTGTATGGCCCCCAGAGCACTCCCAGGAGTGATCCCTGAGCTCAGAGTCAGGAGTCAGTCCTGAGCACCGCCAGGTGTGGCCCAGAAGTTGGGGTGTCCTTCTGGTCAGTGCTTCTGGCAGAGAGAGCTGAAACTGAGCCCAACTCAGTCTCTGAGGGGATTTCGGGGCAGTGGCCATACGGTATCCTAGCCAGGATGGCTCAAAAGATTGAGTGCAGAGGGGTGACAAGAAGAAAGGAGAGGAGGGGCACAGACAGTGGAGCCAGTCGGGGAGGGGTCCTGGGTAGATGCTCTGGGATGGAAGAAATGCCAGCACCTTCACCTGAAGCACAAGGAGGTCACCAGGAAGCAAAATTCCTGCGGGAGGAGACCTCCAGGGCATGTTCCCAGGGTGCATTCCCTGGGGCCAGGGGCGAGGGGTGGGGAGGCAGAGTCACTGAACAGGGGGTACTAATTCTGATCCGTTCCAAATTGGGAAAGAAGAAAATGGGGGTGGGGGGCTGGTGCTGGCAGTTGGATACGTATCACCAGGGATCTCTGAAAGGATGAGGTGTCAAGGCAGGGGTGCACCCTAGACGTTGTCACTAAAATGGGGGGTTTCTAAGACACTGACCCCCTGGGCCTTCTAGGGGGTCCTCAAAGGATGCTTGGAAATCCACCGCAGAGCCTCTACTGGGCCAATGATCTTGCACATCAGAGACTGCCAGACTCAAGGGGATCAGATGGGAGGATTCTGGGGTCTGTGGACCAATGAAATGCAATTTCAACTCTGCTTAGAAGGAGGATGGGGGTTCCTCTAAACATTCCTGGTCTCGGTCCCCTTCTGCTTGGAACTCCAATATTTGCTACCCCGTACCCCCAGACCTCTATCCCCCTAGAAGACTGAGCTCAAATACCACCTCCTCCAGGAAGCTCTCTCTGCCCACCACCGCCCAATGTGGTTCTCAGTCCACCACATTCAATTCCCAGAGAAACCAGGTTCCACACCCTTCCTCTGGGCTGTTTCCCTGGTTAGGTCCTTCCTCACTGTGAGCTCATCACAGAGCTGGGAATAAGGCCTGACTGCAGAGAAAATGCAAAGAATTCCAGACTGGAAGAAGGAGTGAGAGTGGGAGGGATGGGTAGAGGGGCCGTGAACTGCCGTGTGGGGCATGGGCTTTACCTGCGGCTCAGGAGGCTTCTCCACCGGTCAAAGGTGTTGGCGCTCAGGGCCTCCTCCACCTCCTTCATCTTGCCCTCGTCAGGCAGGATGAAGATGGCCGAGATGTTGTCCTGGAAGGGCATCTCCAGGATGGAGCAGGGCAGCTGGTCGTCACGGCCCGCCTCATACATGCCGCCGTGGTGCATCATGGACACCGTCACCGTCTGGTCCCCATCCAGGAGAAAATCCTCCTCCTTTGTGGCTTTGGGATCGAATTCCTGTTGCCACCTGCCTGAAGAGCCAAGGACAAAGGGACATGCTTTTCCCGAGGGAGAAAGGATCTGGGCCCCACAAAGTCCAGGTCTCTGCACGGATTCAGAGACCAAGGTGTAGGGTTCTGTTCCAGGACCACTTGCTCTCTGGCTGTGCCGGGAAAACATCTGGTGAGGTGGGCATGGACCAAGATGGGCCTCACGGAACCAGCTCAGGGCTACTGGGCAGGGAAACAAACTGTAGATCCCGAGGTGTCTCATGACAGAGAGGACCCCTGGAATTTGTCCCAGCAGAAGGACTGGGCTGGACGAAGGGGTGAGCATTGGAGTCTGACATGGGGACAAAGGCAGCTGTCACCTGTCACTCCCCTCTGTTGCATGAGAACCCTCTGCTCAGACCTGATACTGCTTAGGCCCCGTTCCTGAATCTCAGCTTCTCTGGACTTTGGTCTTTACTGGTCAAACGGGATGCGTCTCAGGGATGGTACACAGAGAATTCTGGGCAGATGTCACTCATCATCTGTCACTGCAGCCACTTGTCTCCCCGGGGACTTAGAGCTCTGCTTCTTAACCTGTGGGTGGTCAAAACCCATGTGGGGTCATGACACTGAATGGGAAAGGGATGTTGTCAAAAGACTTTAAAATTCATAATAAAACAGCCTATGGGGTCAGAAGGACAGTACAGCGAGCAAAGCATTTGCCTTGCACACAGCTGACTCAGGTTTGACCCCTGGCATCCCATATAGTCCTCCAAGCACTGCTAGAACAATTCCTGAGTACAGAGTCAGGAGTAAGCTCTGAGCGTCCCTGGGTGTGGCATATATGTGTATGTGTGTGTGTGTGTGTGTGTGTGCGTGCGTGCACACACACATGCACACGTATGCAAGGATGGCCCCCAAATCTGTGCAGGGTTCCACATTTCTCTGCACATTTGTCACTTCATTGTATGTGTACAACAGCTCATGATTATAAAAGCAAACCCAGTCTAGGTTCAGGTGCTAGAATTAAAATAGAACTGCTATTAGTGTTTCTGGAAAAAAAAATAGAACTGTTATCAAAAAAATAAATTTCTTTATGATTATCATCAGTAATTGTTTGATTTGAATACCTCTATATCTGGGGTGATATAAACATTTCTCTAATGGGGCCAGAGCGATAGTACAGTGAGTAGGGTACCTGCCTTTCATGCTGAAGACTCAGGTTCTAATCTGGGCACCACAGACAGTCCCCTAAGCCCCGCCAGGAGTGATCCTGCGCACAGAACCAGGGGTAAGCCCGGAGTGTCTCTGAACTGGCCCTGAAACCAATAAAGTAATTAATTAATTTCTAACAAAAAGGGGTCGTGAGTGGGAAAAGTTTATGAAGTCCTTCTGTGGAGGACGTAGGAACTCAGGAAAGTTACCGATTCTTCTTTCTCTCTCTGCACAGGTCAGGCCCATTTCCCACCATAACCCCTTTATCCCATGTGGCTTTCAAAGAACTCTACTCCCATGCCCAAGGGCCGCAGTGGATGACATAGTGGGGCTATCAATGGCTTGAGGCCTTTGCCCTGTGCTTCTCAACTCTGTTGGTGATATGTATGTGTGATATTGAGTGTGTGCTTTTGATATTGTGTGTGAGTGTGATATGGTGTTGTGGTATTGGGTGAATGTGTTATATTCTGTGTGTGTGTGTAATATTGTGTGTCTGTGTGTATGACACTGAGTTTGTGTGACACCGTGAGTGTATGATAAAGTGTTTGTGATATTCTTTGTGTATGATATTGTGTGTGAGTGTGTTTACTATTGAGTGTTTTTGTGTGTGTGTGAATTTTTGATATTGAGTGGGTTCGTGATATTTTCTGGGTAAGTGTGTGTGCCATTGTGTGTGTGTGCTGGAGGATGGACTTGTGTGAAGCTTGAATTTGGAAACACACTTTCATGTCCATCTCCACTTTGTCACTCTTGTATTCGGAGGCCCTACAAAGTGGAATCAGGAAACCGCTGTGTCCCCATCCCCATTTGCACCCAAGCCCGCTGTGGGCCTGCTGGAGCTGGGGTGGGCACAGACCTCGGCCAGGAGAAGCAGGTGGAGGTGAAGTCCTTCCTGCTTTGTGTCCTCTGAAGCACTAAGCTTCCCTGTCCACATCCGGCAAATGGGGGAGGAGGGTCAGCCCAGCCTTCACTGCCAAGGTGAGGTGGGTTAGAGGCACAGCAACGCAGAAGAGGATCATGGACGGTCTCAGGATTTTCACTAAATTCTGTGGCAGCTCTGACTAGGACAGAAGATTTGGTTTGCTTGCTTGCTTGTTCTGCTGAATGGTAGGTTGGTTGGCTTGAGGGATGCATGAACAGTGCTCAAAGCTTCCCTCCTGGCTCTGCTCAGGGCTCACTCACTTCTGGTGGTGCTTGGGGGCATGTAAGTGGTACTGGAGGTCAAACGGGGACTGACTACAATCAAGGCAAGTGCCCTCCCTGCTGTATACTAACCCTATGGCCCCCAACCAAGGACTCATTTTGCAGGTCAGAGAAGTGGAATCCTGGGACATGCATTAAGTGTGAATTCAAGGTCACAGTGCAAGAAAATGACCAGCCTATGTGTCCAGGTAATTCTCTGGTTGTGGGGAGGGGCTTCTCAAGCATTGTGCTGTTGCCCTGGGGGGAACCACTCTGGGGCAATACCCAGCCAAGTTTGGGTAGTTCGAGGGATATGGGCCTGGGGATAGAGTGATGGTTGGTGCCAGAGGTGCTGGGGACTGCCTAGGACATATCTGGTACTTGGCCCACAAAACCCTGCCCCCTCTACTGCCACTCCATCCTTGGCAGGCCAACACGTGTCCCTGTCTTACCTCGAAAGAAGAGGCAGTTAGTCAAGAGCATCAGGGTGCCGGGCATGATGTGGCGGATGAGCTCGTTGATATTGCCCCGCGTTTTCTGACGGACAAAGTCATTGATCTCCCTGCGGGCCGCTTTTAGGTCCTGGAAGTTGGTGGTAATGGTCTCGGCACTGTACAGGTTCTTGGCATTATCCAGAAACTTCTGCTGGGGCTGCAGCTTCCGGTCTATGAACAAAGCATTCTCCAGGTCCAGATTGTGGCTGTGGTGGGTCTGATCGAGCCTGCGGATGAGGTCTCGGAAGCCCTCATGCAGGGTCCGATCGGGCAGGTTTTGGAGGTTGAAGCCCTCCTTGATCTCGGCCAGCGTCGAGTCCTGCGCCCCCAGGCACAGCATGGAGAAGGCCGTGGAGATGCTGAGCGGGGAGATGAAGATGTTGTTGGTCGGGTTGCGGGAGGTCAGCTTCTTAAAAAGCTTGAAGCCGAAGTCTGTGTTGCGCCTGGACAACTCCTGGGTGGCCGCCCTTCCTTTCCACGCACCCAGAACCTTCGGAGAAAAGCCAGCCTGCACCAGGCCTTCCCCAGTCAGGAGGCCAGCCATCAGCAGGCCCAGGCCCAGTGTGGGGTTCATTGTCCTTGGAGAATGTCCTGGGGAAGGGGGAAAGGCAGATTAGCAGGAAAGAGAAAAGCCCCGGAATCCCCTGGCTCCTAGAGGGTCCCTGAGAAAAACCAGGTACAGAATGTGGGCCAGTGCATGGGTGGTGAGGCCTTGAAGCCCCGGGCTACCAGCACCTTCTCACCTTTAAAACTGTGCAGTGAGCATGGCACCCAGGCCATAAGCAGAAGCTGAGTTGACCCTCCCCAGTTTTGGGGGGGGCCTGCTCCCACCCCTACCCTAAGCTTCCTACTTCACCAGCTGCCAGATTCCAGGGTGCTTTCTGGGGGGAGGGGGGCATTCTCTGAGAGCAGGGACAGGGGATTCGGGCCGGGTATCCCTAGGGTCCACTGCAGGACAAATCCCTGGTATCCCATTGGTTCTTTGAGACTGACTGGAGAAGAGAGGGGGTGAGCACCAGCACAGAGGTTGCACCTATGAGCACCCCAAATTTCCCAGTTGTACCCTCAAACCATCCCTGTCAGAGGCCGAAGCAGCTGCCATTCTCAGCGACCAGGTGGCCAAGGAACTTGGGGTTTGGTGCTGACATCCATGGGCACTGTCCCTCATACCCCTCCATCCTCCTAACACTGTGTCTCTCTGTTGAGGTGACTCCCTCCAGCTCTAAGGGAGCTCTGGATCAGGCAGGGTGACCCCACCCTTGATCATGGTGGGTCCAAAGCCAATTTTCCCGGTCCCCCACCATGCACAGTTGGTGGGGCTTGACCCTGAGGCTTGTCTGGGGAAGGGTACACATAAGTGAGCCAGGGAATTGGGGGTCTTTGGGTTGGCATGTGAGGTGTGGTCCTCTTTCTCCCACTGGAGGCCTGGGCAGGAAGGTGTAGGATTCACTTCAGATATCACCCCATTTCTCTGCAGGACTCTGGGGACAAAGCCAGAATGCAAAGAAAAGACTGGCCAAGAGGGGTCCCAACAGCAGCCCCTGGCCTGCTGCTGTGCAAGTATGTCAGTGACTTCAGACAAAAGCACCCCACAAACAATACAGACCCACAAGTCTTGAGCTGAGAGCACTGAGCAGTCAGAAGTTGGCTCAGTCTTCGTAACTCAGAGCTCTGTGGAGGCTCGAAGTATTGGCTGAGAAGCAAGGGTTCCGGGGCTGCCCGGGAATAGAGCCGAAACTTGGGAGATCAATCAAATCCCCAAGGGACTGTGAGATTTGCCCATGGATTGGGGCATCCACTCTGCACACAGGAGCCCCAGGTTCCAGTCCCCATGTTACACTGAGCACCACCAGGTGTGTCCCCGACAGCAAATGAATACATAACTAAAACCCCCAAATGCGTTTTTGATCCAGGAAAGGAAAAAAAGGTCAAGACATAGCTCCGTGGTGGAGGGTTTGACTCGCATGTGAGAGGCCCGAAGTTTGACCTCCACCACTGAATGCCCACCAGGAGTGACCCCACGATAATAAAGATAAATGGTGTCTGGGAAGAAGGTGGCATTGGGCCAGTGGATATTGAGAAGTGCTCCTGGAGTGAAGATAGAGATGCGTCTGCCTGAGCCCAGGGCTGGCAATGCAGCCTTTCTCAAAGCTGGGAAGTAGGAAGTGGTGGACGTACCAGCCCAGGATCCCAGGCGACATTCCCAGCAGCTGCTGTGCCAGCCCGGTGAGAGACAAGACAAAGCTGGTGAACAAGGTGCAGGAAATGCGGGTGAGTCAGCGCAGAAGGAGCTGCGGCCAAGAGCCAGGGTGGGGTGCTTTAAGTAGCATCCAGAAGTTTTTGCTTTGTTTTGGGTTCACACCCAGTGGTACTCAGGACTCACTACCAGCTTTGTGCCCAGGGATCACTCTTAACAGTGCTCACGAGATGCTCTGGGGTGCTGGGAATCGCCCAGTAAGGCAAGTACCTCAACTGCAATATTTTCTCTTCAAGCCGGAAATGTTTTCCAACACAGGCTTCCAACCCCCCACCCCCACCCCTTGACTTCACAAGGGTGTTCAGCTGGACCCCAAAACCTTTTCTCTACTTTTCCAGTTTCAGCAACAGGAGCGAACTGTGGCATGAGAATCAGCCTGTTGTGGATTCAGGGATGTGTCCGGAGGCTGGGAACAGCTTCTGAAGCAACCTCTGCTCTCCAGCTGGCTAACAGACTGCAAGATTATTTCTCCTCCTCCCTTCATGCCTCTCAGCGCCTTAGTGTCCCAATCAGGCCTGGTCCCAGCCTTCCTCCACCTCCAGGTGGGGCACCTGTGTCACGTGGACCCCGCAGGCCTCCTGCCCTGCCCCCCTGTGCTCAGACCATCTGCCCCTGACTGGCCCCACTAACCTCACTTCTGGGCTTTTCCATCTGTCATCGCCCAAACTTGTTCGATGGGTACCAGTCCCAGATGCCTGAGCCGGCTAATGTTTTATTCCATCAATTAAAATAGCTGAGCAACTGGCATGTCTCAATAAAAATGATAGTCTGACCATGTTAGGCAATTCCTGGTGTGTATATGTGTGTATATGAGTGTGTGTTTCATTGTAAAGAAAGAAGAACAAAATGGATGGAGGCACGTGGGCAGATGAAGTGCTGAGTATTATCACAGTTCTCTGACAAGCCCACCCACTGCTTTCTTCTCCACCTTTGCTCTTTGTTGGTTGTATTCTTTGGGGGTCACACTGCAAGACCCCAGCATGTAAGCATGTGTTCGGTCCTTTGAACTATCTCCTCTGTCCCTTTTATTCCATTGCATGCTGCTTTTCCTTCTTCGTTTTGAGAAAATCAATTTCTTCTCTTGTGAATGAGCATAGCCAAGAGTCCTCAGTCACCAATTCTCAGGACAGCCAGGCTAGGTATACCCCAGGTGTCCAAGTGGGCAGCATATGGGAGGTGCCTGAAATCTACATGGAAGGGTGCCCCCTTTCACTTCCTCTGACATCCAGGTGAGCTCAGCCATCAAGCTCAGCCCATCAAAGACATCAGGAGAATGTGAGTTGTGGTGGCTCTTTGAATGATGATATTTGTGATCTCACAAAATGCTCCTGCTCCTGAGCCCCAGAGTCTGGGGAACACATGCCCAGTAGTGAAGCACACAGACACCACAGAAGGGCACTCCAGGCAGCACGGGTTCCACCAGTAACCTCAAAAGATGAGGCTCCACTTCAACTCCTGCTGGGTCACCTCTGGAGACTACTTACCACCCAATCTCTCGTCTGCAGCAAAACCAGTGAGTAAGGAAGCACTTCCGTGTCTGACCTCTGGTCAAGGAGAGCAGGAGTGTCTGGATACTCTGGCCAACCCCCAACACCCAGCAACTGGAGACATGATGTGTAAGTGTCTATTCTGCTGAGGGGCTGTGTCCTGCCCACACATGACCCAGGTGTGCTGGTCCCATGACTCCAGGCCTGGAGACCCCCATTTTCCTCTGTTCAATTGCAGAATTCCTCAGGAGCTACACATGGCATGGACAAAGCCTGACCCTCCTCTGTGTGTAGGGATATGAAGACCTTTCAAGGACATGCTTGGGGTTCCAAAACCAGCACCTGGGCCCTTGGACTTTGGGAAGACATCCCAGACATGTTTTGGGATCCCTCTACTAAATAATTGACATTGATATTTTTTATTAAAAATAGTTCATTTTCAGGACCAGAGCAATAGTACAGTGTAGGGCACTTGCCTTGCACACAACTGACCTTGGTTCTAGCCCTCGCACTACATAAGATCCTCTGAGCCCCACCAGGAGGGACCCTTGAGCACAGAGCCAGGAGTAAGCCCTGAGCATTGCTCTCCATGACCCAACCACCCTCCTTCAAAAAAAATATTTTCATCAACTCATTATTTCATTTATAGAACTCATTTAAGAACATGCAAGAATCCAGTTTGCTCCTCGAGCCTATGTCCTCCCCGGAATAGGTATCTTGCTTTGATAGGCATTGCCTTAAAGAAGCAATCACTCTAGACTATCGGAAGCTACGTCCTGATTTGCTAAGGTAGATTGAGAACAAAGGGGGTAAAATACCCTTTACCCTCTGTAGAGAACCTCTGGCCTCCATGGGAGTTCCAAATCAAGCACAGTAAGCTGCCTTTCCCTCCTGAGAAACAGAGATGCCCACCAGCCCACCGCATGGCTCTTGTATCACCCTACCAGATTTCGGTCTCATGCTGAGAAGTATTCGAGTCCTGCCTATGTGCCAGCTTCTGGGCTCAGGATCAATGCCCATAGAATGGCCAACATGGGCTGCTGGTGCACCCTGGCACAGACTCCCCTCTTTCCTGAGAGCTGCTACACAATCCACCCAGAGACTCCCCAGATCTGCAAGAACTTCTCATCTCTGACTTTGGTCACTTCTTGCTGCTTCAGTGATCTCATTCTGGATTGAGGGGCCGATTGGCTTGGCCACTAGAGCTATAAAGTAACACAATGAGCACTGTGGATGGAGCTGCTCTCCAATATCACAACATGCTGATGGGTTTGAGAGGGGTTCTGTTCTTGGGGGGTTTGAGTCACTCTTAGTGGTGCTCATGTGCTACTCCCAACTTTGTGGCAATGCACCACAAGAGACTGGGTGGTGTCAGGGATGGAAGCAGGGTCAGCTGCATGCAAAGCAAGTACCGAAGCCCCTGTGCTATCTCTCCGGTTCCAAGAGTGGAACTCTTCTCCTTTAATGTGCTTCTGCCAAAATGCAGGAAAGGGGCAGTGTGGGTTCCCCACTCCGCTCCTCTCTTCTGCAACATTAGCATGTGCAAGGGGAGAGAGCAGCTGCCAGCCAGCCCACAGCTCCTGCCTGCCGAGAGAAGCTCCCCAAGCTGCCTGCGCTGCCCCAACTTCCCCTTAACCCACCCTCTGTGCCCACCTCCACCATCATCTCCACAGGAAGAGTTACTCACAGCGCATCCAGGGTCCAGCCACTGAGCTGCCAGACGCTCTCCCAGTGCTTTTATCTATAGCTCCATGGCCTCCTGAGACAGAGACAGCAGGCCAGTCCCTCCAGCTGACCCGAGCAGACAGAAAATCGGCAGGGAAATGTTTGGGGAGCAGTGACCACACACTTTCCTTCAGTCAGCTCTCTGCCGAAGCAGCGGTGTGTATGGGTGTCGCCTGCTGCCTCGGTGAACTTCATTCCCCACTTGTGCAACAGCCTTTTGCCCAATCACAGAGCATCCTGGTGGCGTCTGCTGCAGACGGCAAAGTGTCCAGCCCCAACGTCATCCTGTCCAGCCTTGCTACTGCCATGCTGACACAGTTTCAGGGGGAATCTCCTTTCTGTTTCTGTTTCTTTTCCTATTTTTCATGTTCTCTGCACCAGTCATTTCTCTCCCCTGAAGTATTCCCAACCCTGCTTGAGTCCTTCTAGGGAAGAGGCCCAAAGAGATATAAATGGATGATGGAGATCCCGTTCATGCCCCGAAGAGTAGGGAGCAGAGACTCATGTCAGCACTCGGGACAACGCAGGAAGTTACCCACGACTGTCACACAAGGAAAGCGTTGGGTTTCTTCCTCTCCTACCCCTTATTTTCTAGTAATTTCCAGGAATCACTACTGCTTGAGGACCCATGGTCTCAGGTTAAAAGCATAGCAAGACTCTACCCTGTGGGTCCATCAGAGAGAAACAGGGTCAAAATGTTATATTCTGGGGAACCCAGGGTGCTAATGATCTGTTTCGCTTGGAAGGTGTTCCAAGGTGCGACAGAATAGGGTCCCTCCACTCAGAAGGACATTTCCCGTGCTGACTGTGATCTGAGGCCCCATGGGTAGGGGTGGACGGGGGTCCTTCCTTCCTTTGGGATGCTGCTTTCAGCAGAGATGAGGCCCTACACAGCAGATAACCTAGCTCAACCTTCTAGAACTGGTTCCCTGGCTCCCTGACCAGGATGCAGAGCCAGGGAAGAACAGCTGCAACTGTTTGGGCCAGTTTACTAGGTATCACTTTCCTGACTTGGGGAACTGAGGGGTCAGGCTTGTGGCGGGGTCCAACACACCATGGGAGCAGTGGACGATGGGGCCTCCCATCAGCCTGAAGATGCCCTCTCTGAGATCAGGCCAGTGAGACAGGCGATCCAGCCAAGGATGGTGGTGGGTGCGTGGCACCCAGACTGTGTGGCACCCTGGTTTGTAAGGGAGAGCCCCGCTGTATAATGACAGGGCGAGGCCATGTGAGCTGTAGGCCACACCCGCTGGCTGTTCCAGACATACTCTCCTGCAGGGAACATCAGGTGGGGAGAGAGCAGAAGTGAGTGGGATGGGGCCCTTGCTGAAGGACATCAGGAGCCCGGTCTCAGGCAGCACCACAGACCCCCCAAACCTCCACTGAGCACAGCCGCGGTGGATGGGTGGGAACAGGCTAGGTGCTGAGTCTTGGTGCTGTCCCAGTATCGGGGTCATCGGGGTGGGGGCAGGGCCGCTGGTGCACACAGGTAGAGGTGAATGGAAGGATCAGCCTCAAGAAGCCAAGCCAGGACAGGGAGAGGGCACAACAGCTGGAGCTCATGCCTTGAATGTGCGATGCCATGGGTTCAATTCCCAACACTCATGTCTCCTGCAAGCTCTGTGAAGTGTGGTCCTGCTGATGCATTCACCATACCACCAGGCCCGAGCCCAAAACTGTCCAGGCCAGTTAACTAGGTATTACCAAGAGTGGCCCCAGGTTCCCCCCATGGGACATACTACCCAAGAAAGGAAATGAGGTCACACCTAGACTTGAAGTTGTCCTGGTCACCATCAATAGGGAGATGCGGGCCTTCTGGCTAGATCCTACTGCCCACTGAGGCCTGGAAGGGAAGGTGGTCAGAAACCAGGGGCTTTGCACAAAGTGAGCCATGGACCAGAGAGTGGCCACTGGCCAAACAGGCCAGGATCTGCTTTTATAGCATAGCCTTGTGGGGCCCAGAAGAGCAAAGATTCTCTATTTTATCTCTCCCTCTCTCTTCTTTTTTCCTCTCCCCTCTCTCTCCCTCTCTCTGTTTCTCTTTCTGTCTCTCTCTTTCCCTCTACCCCCCTCTCTCTTTCTGTGTCTATCTCTGCTTCTGTTTCTCTCCATGTCTCTGTGTGTCTCTGTCTCTCTCTGTCTCTCTCTCCCTCTCTCTCTGTCTCCTCTCCCCCTCTTTGTCTCTTTCTGTCTCTCACTTCTTCTCTCTCTCTCTGTCTCTCTCTCTCTTCAGTTCTCCCAGATACCAAGCCAAGCAGGTGAGAGATCCAAACAACTTGATGACATGGTCTGTGTGGGCACACAGGAGAGACAGAGAGAGCCAAGCTTTCAGAGGACTGTTTGCGAGGGTCTCTGGCTGTGAGCCCAAGGAGGCCCCTGACTTCACCTAGGGTGCTGGCAGCAGCTTCAAAGATTGGTCCCTCTTGGGCTGGGTGCTGAGGGATGAGCAGCAGTTCTCGGGTTGAAACTGAGGGCATGAGGGAAACAATGAAGGTCTGGAGAAAGTGTGGGGATGATATAATTCCTCTAGAAATCTTTAAATGTGACTGTGGGTGTCTGAGCAGTTAAACAATGAGACTAGTGTAGCCAGCCCAGAGTCATCTAGAGCTGCAAAAATGTTTCCTCCTGTAATAGGGCATCTGTAGTGCCCAACATAGGTTTGATACCAGCACCACATGGTCTTCAAACATCACTGGGTGGAGACTGGAAGCCCCCGAGAGCTGCCTGGTGGTCCCAGCAAAATGTCCTCAGGCTCTTGCCTTGAACTCTGTGTTCAGCTGACCGGAGATTACTGGGAGTGGCCTTCTGCTCCCACCACCACTTGGGAGGGTCCCCAGCCCTCATGAAAGCCCCTTTCCTGAACATTGCTCTGGAGTTGAGTTGGTCTGAAATAAGCAAGGTGAAGGTTCTTCCTCTGAGATGCTCTTGCAGGGGTAGGCAGACACTCTATCTGACTGATCCTTCTGGTGCTGAGGAGAGGATCTGGGAGATCCCTGCCACCACCAAGCATTGCTATAAAATGATAGCAATTAAGATGTGAGAGACTGGCACAGGGGAAGGTAGATTGCCTGATAGGATGTACTAAAAATTCAGGGCAGGCCCACAAAGGGTCACCTGAGACATTCCTGCAATCCAGAGGAAGGAGTGAGCCTCTCAGAAAACATGCAGACGTACTGGCCCACATTTGGGGAGAAGCGAAACTGCACTCAGGTACAAACGACCTAGGAAGCCATAAATCCATGCACATGAGTTTCCTGGCATGTGGTTGACATTCCATCCCAAACACCATGTTATGGGACTCAAGCACCACCAGGAGTGACCCCTGAGCACATGACAAGAGTAAAGTCTGAGACCCATTACTGTGATAAAGAGAGAGAAAGAGAGAGAGAAAGATATAAAGAGAGAAATAAAGAGGGAGAGAAAGAAAATGAAGGAAGGAAGGAAGGAAGGAAGGAAGGAAGGAAGGAAGGAAGGGAGAAAAGCAAGGGAGGAAGGAGTTAGGGAGAAGAGAGCAAGAGAAATAAATAGAGGACGGAAGAAGAGAAGGAAGAGAGGGGGGAAGGAAGGGAGAAAAGAAGAGAGGAAGGAAGAAGAGAAGGAAGAGAGGGAGGAAGGAGGGAGGGATGGTGAGAGGGAGGAAGATGAAGGAATGAGGGAGGGAGGGAGGGAGAAAAGAAGAGAAGAAGGAAGAAGAGAAGGAAGAGAGGGAGGAAGGAGGGAGGGATGGTGGGAGGGAGGAAGATGAAGGAAGAGAGGGAGGGGAGAAGGGAGGGAGGGAAAGGAAGGAGGGAGGGAGGGAGGAAAATAAGGAAGATGGGAGGGAGGGAGAAAGGAAGAACAAGTCTAAATTCAGAACCTGAAGACAGCACAGAGTTTGTTACATGCTAGCACTCACCCAACTTGGGTTTGATCCCTACCACCATGTGTCCCTTAAGCATCACTAGGGTGCATCTCAGGAGACCCCAGAACATCACCAAGGTAGCCTAGGTATTCCCACACTGCAGCCTCATGCCCTCGAGACCTTGTACTGAACAATGGTCTGGCCATCCAATAATCACCTCTAGGAATTGACCTCCGCACACCTCAAAAAAGAGACTATATACCCAATTATTAAATATCCATCGGTCACGGTCCTCCAGTTGTTCATCGATTTTCTCGAGCGGTCCCGGTAACGTCTCCATCATGAGACTTGTTACTGTGTTTGGCATATCGAATACATCACGGGTAGCTTGCCAGGCTCTGCCGTGAGGGTGAGATACTCTCAGTAGCTTGCCGGGACCTCCGAGAGGGGCGGAGGAATCGAACTCAGGTCGGCCATGTTGGCTGCGTGCAAGGCAAACACCCTACCCGCTGTGCTATTGCTCCAGCCCATTAAACATATTAGAAAGAACAATCTGGAAACTCTGACTTGGATAGTCTCTATCCTCAAATTCACACTTTGTTAGTATTTTCTTGGTATTAGTATCCACAATTCTTTAAAAGTGCAGCTACTCAAAAGAACTATACTAGACCATATAGTCAGACCCTTGATAGAGGGAAAGACCTCTGAAGAAGAATACACAAAGGTCCAGCTATTAGAAAAATGGTAAAGGACCAGAGAGAGCACAGTGAGTAAGGTGTTTGCCTTGCACTCAAAGGACCCGAGTTCAATCCCCAGCATCCTATAAGGTCCCCCAAGATCCATCAGGAATAATTTCTGAGTTCAGTCAGGAGTGAGCCCTGAGAACAGTCAGGTGTGGCCCCCAAACAAAAAAAATACATAGGCTATTCTATTACATTAAGGGTAAGAATTTCACTTATCAAGTCGCCTGAGCAAGAACAAAGGCAAAACTCAGGCTGGAAGATAGTACTTGTCACTGCGTATTTGTGAAGGGACTTAGATCAAATTTCTAAGGTGCCCACACACCAGCTCAGAAACAGAGACTGGAACTGAGTGATACTACAATGGATGAGGTGCTTTCTTTGCACACCACCAACTTGGGTTCGATCCCCAGCATCCCATAAGCCTCTCGAGCACCTCCAGGAATAATTCCTGAGTACAGAACCAGGGGATAAGCCTCGAATAACACCAGATGTGACCTTCAAAACACAATACCAAAAATTCAGGAGTAAACCCTGAGCAC